GCTCCTCAATTTGAGAAAGATAGAGAGTCGAGTAGATGGCTGCAGAGATGAGGGGCCTAGAGTACTTCCATTACAAGGAAAAGCTGAGCTCTGGGACTATTAGCCTGGAGAAGATTGAGAGGGGATCTTAGCAATGCTTATAAATTTCTGAAGGGTGAGAGTCAAGTGGACAGGGCCAGTCTTTTCACTGGTACCTCAAAATAGGACAAGGGGCAATGAGCACAAACTGGAACACAGGAAGATCTGTGCAAACAGAGGGAACGCTTCCTTTCTTTAAGGGTGACAGATCACTAGAACCAGATGCCTGGAGAGGTTGTGGAGTCTCCCTTTTGGGAGATATTCAAAACCCATGTGGACACTTTCTTACTCTAGGGAAGCTGCTTTAGCGGGGAGTGGGAGAGGGGGTTGGACTGGACTATCTTGAAAAGTCCCATGCAATCCCTTCTGTTCTGTTACTCTGTGATTCTGTGTAACTACAGTACATTCCATTAACTTGAGATAGTTTTAGTGAATGGCGAAAACAGACTAAGAACAATTGTATTTAGCATCACTTGTGATTAATGCAAGGAGTGGATCAGGAAAAGTCAGTGTTACTCTCCTATTTAAAGTCATGTTCGATCCTGTAACACATGTTGGAGCTGATATGGCACAATATGAAGCAATTCAAAGTAGGAGCACTACACCTGCATCTCCTGATAGTGGAGCTTCTTCAGTAACTCACGGAAAGACATGAAAGAAAATATGATCAGTGAGTCCTTCTGCAACAGACTGGTTTCAAAAGCCAGGTCAAACAATGCCATGTGTTTTATACTAGTTCAGTTCTTAATCACACTCAATTTAAATCTATGAAACACAGACTATTTTTCTGAGATGCCAATTACTTGAAATATCAGAGTTTATGTACCAGATCACACATACATCACTTTCTCTCCTTAACTCTACAATACAGAGGGCTATCGGTGAACATTTGAGTGTTTATCTGTTAAACTGATGAGACAGTGGCTTTTTGTCCAGTGGTTTTTCACTGATTCAGGTAAAGTTAGCGCTGTGAAAAGAGAAAAGTATTCTTCAGAGCTTTTTGGACAGCAATTCTGAATTACAAGATGGGAAACAATATATCTAGGGCAGTGGGAATGATAAAGACAAACCCAGAGTTTTCAAGCATTTAAAAAAATGCTAACACTCAAAAGATTTACCTGGAGATCTAACTTAGAAAGAATCATCCAAAACTATGTATTTGTAGTAAATATGTAGTAAATGTTGATATAAATATTGTATAAACTTGTAGTAAATGTTGATAGTGAAACTTAAGGATTTCAGAAATTACCCAATCAATGACTACTGGATAAGTAGCTCCCATATTATCATCTCGCATCTTTTCATATTTAAACAAAAGTTTGAAGGAGTAATAAGAACAAGAAATTACAGATGGGATTCTTCCAAATATGTGAAGTACCTGTATAGTTATTCAAGAGGACGTAGTTAGAAAGTTACCACTAGTTTGTCTTCTGAAAACAATAAAACATACATTTCATAGTAATGACCTCATGAAAAAGTATTTGGCTTTAATTAGAGATGGCAGAGCTGCTCTTATGAATTCAACAGTTTAACAAGAAAGTGGAATTATCATTCTTAGAGACAGCCATGGGGGGAAAAAAATGTCCAAGTATAAGATTTGCTGTACAAAAATTACAGAATTATGCACCAGTTTATTTCTTCATTATTTGAAGCAAGAGGTAAACAACATAAGAAGTCATAATATTAGCCCTGGTAGGCTTCTTTGAAGCCAGATGCAATAAAGAATCACCTTACGTTTTGAGGGACTTTCCTCTGTTCCCCTGAAATGTAAATATACTTTGCAGCCAATGAATATTTCACTTTGATATTACATTTTTCTTATTTATTGTTTCTAATTTTTATGTTCAGTTTTCATCACAGTCTGTTTGTTTTCCTGCTTATAATATACGCATGAATTATTTGGTTATTCTGAAATCTTACTATTTATATTTATCTTACTTATGAAGTACTGACTTTTGGATACGTTTTTTTCCATTTCACTTTGTCTCTTTGCTTTCTGCCCAATCTTTCCGATTACATTTGAGGGTGCCTGTGTTTTTCCACTCCTGCTGCTCCTGGATGCTGATTGTGTTCACAGGGTGCACATAACTAATCTGTATGCTCAGCATGCACTGTGGCTGGGAATGACGGACTGTGTGGGCAGCCCTGACAACCCTTCAGGAGGGTTCCCCTGGATGGGGAGATAAGTGCTGCATTTTTCTGACAGGATCTGGTGTAATGATCTGTTAGAGCCTAAGGAAAGGCTGGAAACATTATCTGGCTACTATATCTCACACAGCTGCAAGGGAAAACTATGAAGATAAGTACAAAACAAATTGGAAAGGATGCAGTAAACAAGAACTATAAGTTCACTGCTCATTTTCATTAGGATTAACAAAAAATCTGTATTAAGTCATACTGGATCAAGGCTGACATCATACTACTACTGTTTAATTTCCTTCTTACAACAAAGGGCCCCTTCCATCCTGTTACACTGTTGTTATATCTATCAGGCTACAGGCCAGCATCAACACCTCCAACCAGCAGCACCTCCAAACATCCAGCTGGGTTGTGAGATAACATCAGCCAGTGCATGGCCCTAAGAATCTGGGAAAACCTGAGTGTTTGGGCAGGGGCAGAAACACCTTAGTCACCTTCCTTTCTGTCTATAACCATCACAGTTTTCCCTACAGCAGACAGCCCTACATGCCCTCATTTTGCTCTTGTTTTCGATGGAGACAGAAAAGACAGAGAAGAAGACTACATACAGTTTTCTTCTCTGGGCCATCTGTCTTCACTCATTTCTTCTTAAAACTGTTTCTTGCAGCCTTGGAACTAGACCATCATTAGACAGCAGGCCTTTGCAGTTTCTATCATCTGCTCTTGAAGGGGAGGAAGATGGGAATGCTGGCAAAGAACAGGAAAGTACAAAGATGCACGCGGTCAGAGAAGATGGAAATCGTCAACCAAGGGATTGGAGCTAAACTGTGGAATGCTCTCAAGGAGACAGGCTAAAAAGATACTATACACTTGGTCATTTGATGTCAAAGAAGCCCACGTCAGAAGATGCTTCCATTGTTTGGGCTGTTTTTAGGGTGCCATGCATGTGCTACATAGCTGAAAGCTTTGAAAACTTGCTTTAAGTCTACCAATTATGCAGAATTGGACAATAATTTATAACAGCAAATATGAAACAATTTCTTAAAACTCATGCTTTGAATAGGATTGTTCTTCACAGAGAATTTTATAAACAAGAGAGCATGTTAATTCAATACAATCCACAGGATCAGATGCTTGTATCCTTATTTCTATTATTCTCACCAGCTTGGTAGCTGTGAATGTCTTGCACAAAATAAATTGTGCTTTGAATATGCTTGAATAAGGCAAGATATTAAGTTTCCCATTTCCCAGAAATATTTACAAAGCTGCTCATCTCTTTGTACAATTTTAAAAACCTTCACAATAAACTATGTAACCAAGCAGAGCTAAAAGCATGCATATGCAGGAGAAGAACAAATCATTACAAGGTGTGTTTAAAAGTTTGACTACACTTTATCTCATACAAAACTGCAATGTTTTGTTCTCTTGTATCATAGACATAGAATGGCCTGGTTTGAAAAAGACCACAATGATCATCAAGTTTCAACACCCCTGCTATGTGCAGGGTCACCAACCAGCAGACCAGGCTGCCCAGAGCCACATCCAGCCTTGCCTTCAATGCATCAGGGATGGGGCATCCACAACCTACTTGGGCAACTTGAGCAGTGTGTCAGTGCTCTCTGAGGGGGAAAACTTCCTCCTAATATCCAACCTAAACCTCCCTGTCTCAGTTTGAAACCATTCCCCCTTGTCCTATCTCTATCCTTGTAAACAGCCATAGCCCTGGCAGACGTGGGAAGCCTGACCACCTGTGAAGACTGAGGCAAAGCACTTATTGAGTACCTCAGCTTTTTCTATGTCTGAGAAAGCCAGCTCCCCATTACCTTTCATCAGACAGGGAGCACTCTCCTTGTACCTTTATAATTCCATCCTGCTTTACTTTTTAAACTGATTAATGCATGCTGAAGTGAACTGAATTTCCAAATGTTTTTGCTAGAGCTGCTTAGCTCTTTGCAGCACTCCAGTGCTCAGCCTTCACACAGTAGCCTTATTTAGTCAATCCACAGTCCTCTGTGTTTAACAAAACAAAACAAAACTGTATCTATAATTCAACTTCATTTTATCCATCTACAGCCATGGCTTAATCAACGGGTACAAAATAAATAAAAAAAACCACGAAGTGTCAGCATACCTAATTTCACAGGAGAAATCACTACTACCACAGGAGGGCACTAAACTCTGAGAAACTATAGAACAGGAAGAGAGAAAATGGATGAGAAAGCAGGCTGGTATTTATTAAAATGGTGCAGTTTCTTATCTTAATGCTATTATTTAAGTGCCAGAAATGATGAAGTAGGCCTCCTCATCCCTACTGCATTCTATATATATGTATTTATAATTATTATTATTATTATTATTATTATTATTATTATTGTGAATGTAACTGTCAGTGCAGAACCCATAAGAATTAAATACTGATCTTTGCTCGTGCTATTTATGCTATTTAGGAGCAGTTTAGCAAAATCACTGGAATTGTATTCATGGAGAATTGGAAAGAGTGAAGAATCGTGCCTCAGATGTAGTTAATGAGCAGAGCTTTTAGATATTAAGGTACCTTTATAATGTCACCAGTAGCATGAGGGAGATGGGTTCCCTCTACTCCTCATTAAATTGCAACATAGCTTTCTTTTTGTGGTCTTTCTTGTCACTTCCTTGGATTATTTTAAGAAGTTTGATGTCGTTTATAAACTGAGGAATCTAATTATTAGAGTGCAACTGCATAATTACACATTTAAAATGTGTGCTTGCCTGTGAAATGGAATACAGATTGCTGTTAAGATTACCTTGATCTCCAGCAGCTCTTTTGAAACCCTTCTTAGACAGTCATACAGAGGGCACAGAGCTGGTGCTGTCTCACACTTTCCTCCTTCTGGAGCAGTCGGTACCCAGCTGAGATGTGGCTGGGCTTAGCTGGGACCACACCCATGCCATTTCCTTGCCCTGGGGTAGAGCAAAAAACAGAGTTAATCTTAGCTCTACTGTTGCACAGTTGAGGGAGCTCAGGCCAATAAAAAGGCAGACCATAGTCTGCAAAAGTGTCTGCACCACCTACTACATACAGCTCACAAACTGAAAAGCAATGAAAAGGAAAAAAATGCAGTAATTACATCTTTTTGCATACCATGTACAACTTCCTTCCTTTGAGAACTGCTAACATTCTGCCACCTCACACCAGAGCTACTGACAGCGTCCTCTTATCATTGCCATTTCCTGATGTTTTTTGGGCTGCCTGGCAGAATGCAAATAGAACCATGCTGTCCTCATGTACAAATTCAACTGCCTGTTCCTTCAGTAAGCACATTTCCTGGGCTCCTGGAGTGCATGGCATTCGTGCAGCTGTGTTCACCCTTAAAAGCCGCACAAGAAGAGAGTCAGATGTCAAACACAGACTAAGTAAAAAGCAGAGATAGTTGAGGAAAGCTGGAGTGAATCTTCAGAAAGCTAAAAGCTCCCTTGGGGTTTTTCTCTGACCAGTGCCTATTACATTCCTTTCTTTACTGTGCCAACTGTAACAGGAGAGTGCATTAACAGAAGAGCTCATGGTGCTTCCTCCAGTAGTCACAGAGACTGGGAAGGAGATGCTTTCCTTTTCTACTGTATCTATTTTAAACTCACACTTTTTTATTTCAAAATTTATGCTCAGTCTGATGTGAAAACTTACTAAAACTTTAAACACCTGCAAAACTTTCCTAAGTGAAACAGTACAATCAGCAATACACGTATTTTCAGCAGCATAGTTACTATGCCCTCTGCGAGTCCGATGGAGATGCTGCCATGTGCAGCATATGGAATCCTGAAAGCATGTGCTACCTTAATAACCTTTGGGTCCCCAGATGGTAAAACCAACAGCTGTATGTATTATATTCATTCCCAGTAGGTAGATAATAGACAACAAAATTTTTCAAAGCATCTAACTGATATGCACAAGAGCTCTATTTTCTACCTGATTTAAGACTTGAGGCCATGTGTTCTAACATGCTGTGGTGTCTAAAATTGAGTCAGTCCTCTAACAGGACTTTCAAAAGCAAGGATCCCAGAGCGTGAGCTGTGTTTCTGAGCAGGTCATGGAGTACCTTTCTGAGATGTTGGGAGCAGAGATACTCTTAAAACCTGACTCTCCAGTGCCCACAGTTCTCTGCATTTGTATAAGTTTTGAAAATGCGAAGGCTCCTAAACCAGTTCCGTGCATTTGAAAAAGCCTTTATAAGGGCTGAATTTAAGATTTCATAAAGGCTACAAATAATCTGCTCTCATTTAGCATAGACACTTAAAGATTATGTTTTGCTGCTGAGCATTGTAAGTGTAATCACTGCCAGTGATTTCTGCTGATGCTTGCTAATAATAATAATACACATAGTCTTCTGGAATTTTTATTTTTTGTTTTATATATTCACTGTATTAGGAACACTATTTGAACAACAGACCAAGTGCAGAAATACAATGGCATTCCTGTATTTATTTTTTTTCCCAATTGATATCAAAGGACTAAAATCATCGTGAATAGTGTGGTTCCCCATTTCTTTATTTTGGCAGTACCTATTGCTTGCAATGAGTCATTGAACTGAAAAACCAGAAGAAGAAAAAAAAGGTCAGTCAGCTGAACAATTTGACCTCACTCATTGCAAATATATAGCTTTATGATCATCAGTGGAAACACAAGGAGAGGGAGAAAAGCATTGTGCCTTCGGAAGAATGATCCTGCATCACTTAGGCATGCTCTGAAAACAAGTAAGACAGTCGCTCTTCAAGCTCAGAATAGACAAGAAACTTAAATGCTGGGTACTGCATGTACCTCCTGAGTGCCTGCCATGGACACAGGGTCTTTCACAGAGCAGATGCCTGTCCATGACATGAGCCACTGTGTAATTTACACAAAATTGGTTGTTCCAGAAACCATGCACTTGTGCAATTACAGAGACCTGAAAAGCATCCCTGGAGCGCTCACACAGGTTTGGATACCAACAGCTTCACATGCTGGGTGGAGCGTGTCATTAACAGGCACAAACCAGTGATGGTCACCGACAGCCTTGCATGCTAAATACAGAGTTCTAATTTCATCTGCTATGGGGCATAACAGCATTTCTCTGGCACTTAAAGCTCCAATAAAATTAAAGCCTTGGAAAATACAGCCTTTGAGTTGAACATTGTCACTTGCTGTTGTGAGCTATCCAAACACTCCTGTCCTGTGGTGTGCTTTGTCCCCACACCCTGCATAGAATCATAGAATGGCCTGGGTTGAAAAGAACCACAATGATCATCTAGTTTCAATCCCCATGCTATATGTAGGATTGCCAAACACCAGACCAGGCTGCCCAGAGCCACATCCAGCCTGGCCTTGAATGCATCAGGGATGGGGCATCTGCAACCTCCTTGGGCTGCTGTTCCAGTGTGTCCCCACTCTCTCACTGAAAAACTTCCTTCTAATATCTAAACTAAACCTCCCCTGTCTCAGTTTAAAACCATTCCCCCTTGTTCTATCAATGTCCAGCCTCAAAAACAGTTGTTGCCCCTACTGTTTGTACTCTTCCTTCAAGTACTGGAAGGCTGCAATGAGGTCTCCCCGGAGCCTTCTCTTTTCCAAGCCAAACAAGCCCAGTTCCCTCAACCTTTCCTCATAGGAGAGCTGCTCCAGCCCTCTGCTCATCTCAGTGCCCTCCTCTGGACCCGCTCCCAGAGCTCCATGTCCTTCCTGTACTGGGGGCCCCAAGTCTGGACGCAGCACTGCAGATGGGGCCTCACAAGAGCTGAGCAGAAGGGGACGATCACCTCCTTCTCCCTGCTGGCCACCCCTTTTCTAATGCAGCCCAGGGGCTGCATGCACACACTGCTGGCTCATGTCCAGCTTCTCGTCCACCCGGACCCCCAAGTCCTTCTCCTCAGGGCGGTTCTCAAAGGGTTCTTTGCCTTGTCTGCATAAACACCTAGGATTGCCCCAACCCAAGTGCAACAGCTTGCACTTGGCCTTGTTGAACCTCATTAGGTTCACATGGGCCCACTAAGTCTCTCTGGATGGCTTCCTTTCCCTCCATCTTGAGATTGAAAGCCAAACCGAGTGTCGCAGATGTTGGAGAGCAACCAGATGTATTTTTAGGCCTTGCTCCCATCTAAAAATATACTGCAGTCATACACTTCAGCAATGCCACAAAGGCCTAATGCCGTATGGAGAGCGGAGCACAGCCAGCTGCTGTAACTGGGTGGCTCGACCCGCCTAACTTGAGCTTTGTGATTAAGAAATCCTGCCCTGAAACTGCTGTTGTGCGCTGGTTGCTCAAGGAACACAGCTCTGAACAGGTTTGTTGCACAACATTGTTACTTAAGCCAGAGAAATCTGAGTGTACAAAAAGCTAATCTGAAGAAAGGCTTCGAGATCTGCCCTGAAGTGAAATAAATGCACTGAGCCAAAAGAGGGCTGGAAAGTACCCTTGATTACTGAAGAGATGAGAAATCGGGGGTGATAGCCTGAGGGATGCAGGTGGAAGCTGGCTGGTTGTGCTGGCGGGGAAGGGGGAACAAATGGATTACAGAACGGCCACGTTTCTCAACACGTGGGTCTTTTTCCTGAAAGAAAGGGGGAAAAAAAAGGAAAAGAAAAAAGAAAAATCAAAAACAGCGGTGCTAATGGTGCCCGGGCACCGCCCTAGCCAAAATGTCCGCGCCTGAGCACAGCCCCGCGTCGGCTCGCCGCAGCGGGAGGAGCAGCCTCCCACCGCTACCAAAGCGGCCGTGGGAGGGAAAAAGGGAGAGAGGAAGCGGCGGTACAAAGCGAGCTCCCCAGGGAGAGCCCCGACTTTCCCCGCTCCGCCCCGCGGCACTGCGCATGCATCGCCGCCCCTGACTCACCCCGCTGAGCTGCGGGAGGCGGGCGAGCCAGGAGCGGGCCGAGAGCGGCTGTGGGGGCAGCCACCATGAACCGCCTGGGCAAGAAGGCGAACGAGACGCTGATCGAGATGGCCCTGTCGGCCGACGGTAGGCGCGGGCCGCACCTAGAAGCTGGGGTTGGGGCTGATCTCGGTGCCCGCACCGTGAGGGGACCGAGGGAGGCGGGGATTCGCCTTTGCGTGGCAGCCCCACCGCCGCTCCTCCGTCGGGGTGGGTGGGCTGAAAGCGTTCGGAAGGGATGCGATGATGCGGGTGTCGGCTGCGCCCTGCCGGCGCGGGGCGGGGGTTGGGTGAGATGATATCTGCCGCGGAAAGATCTTCCTGAAAATACGATGGGAGCCGTGCTTTGCCACCGGTCTCAGGAGCGAAGACCTCCTGGCACGGGACAACCACCGCCCCGCGTGTTGGGGCTCGGTCTTGGGAGCTGTTTCTCCCTCGCAGGCTCCGTGACATCGCTTCTCTTTGGGAAAACCTGTTTTGAACTCCTCCAGCAACAGTGTGGTTGCCAAAACCCTCGGCAAAATTGTTTGAGAAAGCAGTGCCTGTGGGTGCTACCCAGGGACAGCCGAGGGGGAGCTCCCCGTGTGCCATCTCTAGCCCTACAGCCTGCAGGCTGCTTCCTAAGTTCTGCGGGGAGCCCTGAGTCATGGCCAGCATGGAGCAGGGCTCGCCTGCTTTCCTGAACCGGCCTGCTTTCCTGAAGGAGTTGGAGACCAAAACGTGTTTAGTCAATATGTGGTAACCAGGCAGGGAGTGATGCTGAAAGTCAGGAATGTGAACTTAGTTCCACAGTGCTCCGTTTTCCCAGGAGTGTCATGTGTTGGGCTTTTTTTAAGTCATAAACCTTGAACCTAAGGAGTTGGGAGGGGTTTCAGTGGGTGAGTGTGATATAGCAGCATCCACCATTACTGGCACATAACTGTACATAGTCATGCACCAATTCAATTCACTTTTTAATCAAGCACTTTTCTAAAGCAGATGAAGAACTTAATATGGGCTAAAGGGACTG